ACAAGATCCCAATAATGAATATAATTGTACTGTATACCTTAAATGTACCAATAAACTCAATTAATAAAAAATAAATAAATTGCCCTGGTTGGCCTTGAATTTGTGATCCTCCTCTCTTAGCCTCCCAGAGTTCTTGGATTATAGGCATGCACCACTACACCTGGCTTTCTCTAGTGGTCTTTTTTGGTTTTGTTATTTTGGTTTTCTTGCTGTGTAGTTTAGGCTGGCCCTGAACTCACTATGTAGCACAGGCTGGACTCAAATTCCGGCAATCCTCCTACCCCAGCCTCCGCATTGCCGGGATTACAGGCATGTAATTCTGGCAGTCTCCGGTGCTTTTATGGTAAGTGTTAGACATGTTCTTCTCTGTTGGAAGTACTTGTGGCAATTTAAGGGGCTTGATTATTATCAAGTATTTAAACACTTTCAGTTATGCGTTCTCATGAACATGAGGATATGTATTTCTCTTAATCTAAGTATCTTTGCTCTGTTTCTCCCAATATGGCCATCTCCTATATTTTTTTGGGGGGGTGATACTGGAGATTGAACCTAGGGCTATTCTACCACTAACCTACACCGCCCACCCCACTTTTTTTTTGGTACAGGGGATCAAACTCCAGACCTTGTACTTGTGAGGCAGGTGGCGGCATTACTGAGCTAAATCCCCAGCACTCCCATTCCTTTTTGAGATGTGGTCTCATCATGTTTCCCAGGCTGGGCTGGAACTTGGGAAAATTCTGCCTCAGTCCCCTGAGGAGCTGGGATTATAAGTGGCACCCTGCCTGTTTTTTATTTTTGTTTGTTTGTTTGTTTATTTATTTATTTATTGGTACCGGGCATTGAACTCGGGTCCTTGAGCTTGCAATGCAGGTGGCGGAACCACTGAGCTAAATCCCTGGCTCCAATTTTTGTATTTTTTATGTTGGTAACAATATGCAATTTGAGGGTGCTGTGGAACCCCACCATATTTTATTGTGATTTGCAGTTAAAGGTGGAAATATTTTTCTCTAATTCTTGACTGTTAAAAGTTTGTGATGAATCCAATCTGTAAAAATGAGAAACTCTTGCTGGGGTTTTAGCTCAGTGGCACAGTGCCTACCTTGCAAGAGCAAGGTCCAGAGTTTGATCTCTGATACCATAAAAAAAAAAAAAAAAAAAAAAAAAAAAAAAAAAAAAAGAAAGAAATGCTACACTTTCCGCCATAGTCTGGAGTCTACCCAAGAGTTTCTAAATAACAGTGCAAAATGTCTCCTTTAAGTGTAGTGATTATGCTCTTTTGAGGCAGCGCCCCCTAAATGTCTAGCTTAACAGCTTCTTTATAATTCTAGCTGTTCTGGTGGGTATGCACTAGCTTATTGTAAATTTAATTTGCGTTTTCTTTTTTTGAGGCAGGGTCTCATGTAGTTTAGGCTGGTCTTGAACTCACTTTGCAGCCCAGGCTGGCCTCGAACTTGTGGCAATCCTCCTTGCTCATCTTCTCCAGTATATAGGTGTGTGCCGCCATGCCTTATGCATTCTCTTCTCTGTTATGCTAGATTGGCCTTTAACTTCTAAACTCAAGGGATCTTCCTGCTTCAGCCTCCTGAGACCATGGGAATGTAACAGGTAATTTGTGTTTTTTAATTAAAGAGGTTGGGCATCTTTTCTTTTTTTTTGGTACCGGGGATCGAATTTGGAACCTTGTACTTGCAAGGCAGGTGGTGGAACCACTGAGCTAAATCCCTGGCTGGGCATCTTTTCATAAGTTTATTGGCCAGAGTATTCTTTGTTTTTCAGCTTTAATTGAGTTTATTGGTACATTTTAGGGATACAGTACAGTTACATTTATTGTTGGGATCTTGTACCTCTACAGGACAAGTCTTGATTCTCATTTTTTCCCCTTACCTCTGCCCTCCCTTCACCCCCTCCTCCCCTCCCCATCTACACTTTATTTTCATCTTTTCAATTTTTTTCTTTTCCCTTTTTACCCTTCCCCTACCCATCCCACCTTCCCTACACCTTTAGCTCCTTTCTTTCCATTTCTAAATGTCAGTAATCTTATTAGGATCAGAGTATTCTCTTTTGTGAGGTCCCCAAGACTTCTGCCCATGCTGTACTGTTTTTTTTCTTTCTTATTGCTTCAATGGAGTTCTTAATACATTCTGGACACAAGTTGTTGTTGGCTCTATATGTGACAAATTTCTTCTACTCTCTGTAAATGAAATCTTTTCCAGTATGACTCATTAAGAGACTGTTCTTTCCCTACTGCTCTACAACTTCCATTGGTTGTAATTTAAGGGTTTGTATATGTGTAGAACTGTTTCTGGACTCTTTATTCTATTGTACATATCTACTTTCCACACTTATTTCAATACCATATTGTCCCAGTTACAGTTAGAGTAAGACTTGAAACCTGGTAAAACAAGTCTATCTTGATCATCTTTAAGAAAGGTTTAGTTATTTTTGGTCCATTATCATATCAGAGTCAGACTATCAAGTTCCACAAAAAAAAACTTATTAGAAGTTTTATTTGATTTCCATTGAGACCATAGTTTTATCATCCAATAGGGCAGTCAATAGCCACATGTGACAACAAGCATTTGAAATGTGGCCAATCCAACTTGCAAATGAAAAATATACACTGAATTTCAAACAAATATGAAAAAAGTTATAATATCTCAGTCATTTTTAAATGTTGATCATTTGTTGAAATAACATACTGGATAACCATGAATCAAATACAGGACCTTGTGCTTGCAAGGCAAGCAGCAACACCACTGAGCTAAATCCCCAACCCTCATCAGTCCTTATTTTGAGGCAAGGTCTCTCTAAATTTTCCAAGCGGATGTCATGCTTTTTATCTTTTTGCCTCAGCCTCCACGTATGTTACCATGTCTAGCTATGGTATCTACTTTTAAAATTTCATTTTTTTGCTGCTAGTATACAGATACAAAATAGATTTACATAGTATAGAGCTTTGTTTATTGACCCTATTACCAATAACTTTGCTAAACTCTTATTAATTCTATGAATTTATATTATGATCAGATTTTCTATGGATACATGTTATCTAAATAATGACAATTATATTTCTTCTTTTTAAACTTTATACTATATACTTTTTTTTGCTTGCTTTACCATACTGGCTATGACCTAGAGGACAATGCAGATAAAAGTGGAATAATGGGAATACTTGTCATACTCCAAATCTCAAAAATGCTTTCAATATTTCACCATTCACATAATGATAATATGAGTACTCTAAACCTGTGTAGTTGGTTCATATTTAGACCATGTTACAATGATTTTTTTAGTTATTTCTTATACTACATTTGACACTTTAAAATCTTATTTCTTAATCTGATGTATTTAAAAATTTCTACTTTAACATTGCTATTACAAAATACTTACTTAAGAATCATAGTCATGGTTTCTTTTCGATCTTTTCCTTGGAAAGGTAGCGTACCAGTGAGCATTTCAAACTATACAAAGGTAAAATAATCAGAGGTATTAGTCAATAAGTATAAAATCTGAAGTCCAGAGTTTAAAAAAAAATCATCTTAATTACAACCAAATCTTCTAAAATTGTCAGCTATGAAACAAGTGATTTATATTTTTACTATATTCATTATGAAGCTTCTTGATAATTGCTAAGAAATAATTGAGCTATACAGTTCCTTTGCAGAAATTAATCACACTTTGAATGGCAATTTTAAATTTAGATATTTGAACAATCTGACAGATACGCCAATTTCATATGAACTTTTTTTTCCTCATTGAGTATATTGGTACATTTCAGGTATACAGTACAGTTACATTCATTATTGGGATCTTGTACCTTTACATGACAGGTCTTGGTTCTCATTTTTTCCCCTTGTCCCTGCCCTCCCTTCACCCTATAAACTTTTTTTAAAGCATTACTTTCTAACAGATCAGGTTCTCACAAAAAATAAGCACCATTAATGCTTTAGATTGTTACTATTAGTAGACAATCTAAGGATATATATTTTTGCTTTTTCAAATTAGGATGAGATGAAATTAGCTAATGGGTTCCACAGTCCTACACTGCAGCCAATCATTTTTCTTGGTTATTTATTACCTATACTATAAAACATAGAAAATAAAAATACCAGTTTCTCTCTCTTAATATTTTGTGCTGATTTTGATGTAATAAACAAAATAACTCCTCCCACTCCTTAACAAACCAAAAATCCAGACCTTACCATCAACACACCAAAAGACCACCAGTCCGCACTCTGAGTATGACCTCTACGATTAACTACTTCTGGAGCCATGTATTCCACAGTTCCACAAAAAGAATAAGCTTTCTTTTCGTGGTCAATAGATTCTTTACTTAGGCCAAAATCTGACAAAAAATATTAAAATAATAAATATCCTCAATAATTTGCACAGAAAAATTTTAACCTTTGAATTCCAATATTTACATTAATTATTAAAAACTATAACCCAAGTTTGTAAAATAATACATTATTCAATATTTGTACCATAATCAACCTTAAAGGAAACTATGCAGAGATTATTTTAATAAAATGAGGATTTTTACCTGTTAACTTGATGTGACCTTCTTCATCAAGAAGTATGCTGAAAGAAAACAAAAGTAAAAAAATCTTTTAAACCACTAAAGATTTATAGAAGGTAAAACTGAAATATGACTTTTCAAGCATCAGATCACCACATTTATTCTAAAATATTGTTTTACACCACAAATAAGAAGGCAAAGATAAAGGACTTGAAAACTATTAAGAAAACAATCAAATAAGCTATACTGTCCTAAGCTACTCTTCCTCATGCTTTTTTGCACAGGTGGCCTGACTAAACCTTCCAGTGCCTGCATAACTGTCTACAAAGTCAAGAGTATAAGTCTTGGTCATTTTAAAGGTCTAAACTCAAGTATTCTTTTCAATTTTTTTTCCCAGATACAACCTATACAATCTTTTTCTCAATATATCACCTTCCCCACACTCCCTGTTCTTTAATGACCTACTGCGTCTCTTCACTGTCTACATTCCCCAGTGTATTTGGTCTTCTTGGAAATTATGAGCACCTAGGTATTTGAATTTATTCATTTTTCTAGACCAGCAAATGGCAGAGCACAGACCAAGGTTGAATGAATGAGGCCAGTCTACAGAGGACCTACACAGCATTCAAAATTGTTTTGGTTTCTTCACAAGGACACTAGAGACCATAAAAGGTAAATAGGCACATAGTAATAACTAGAACTATAATTTCAGAAAATAATTGAAAGAAAATAGTAAGGAACATTTAGTGAACTCTTTGGGTCATGACAAAGAAGGACAGTTGGAAAATGATACTGGCTTGTACAGATACTTGAGTGAGGAGTAATGTAATTAGTTATGGAGCTAGAAAAAGCAATAGGCACTAAGTTATAAGCCAATAACTATTTCTGGACAGTTATTTTAGTATACTGACTTGAAAGGTCAAGTAAAAACTATTTCATTTATATTTAAAGCTATTCCACAATATAGGCATTTATTTTACTTTTAATTCTAACAAAGTATGCAAGTCAAATTTTGTTATAAAATTTTACTATTGCAAAAACATCATGAATCTTCTTTATACATCAGCTCAAACATAATTACAAAAAAGTTTACCACTGAAGATAGTTCAGTAGCGATATACTTTTTAAGTCACTTTCATAACAAGCATTCTTTTAATAATTATTTTATAGCCATATTTATTGTAACATACAATTTAAAAGAAAGCATAAGTTCATTAAACATTTGGTTTAAAATATAAAGTTCTCCAAAGTTCTACGTGATGGTATTTATCTGGATCACTTACCAATTGAATATTATTTAAATTTATTTTTTATTTTATTTTTTGAATATTTAAATTTAATTTTAACAGCTAGATGCTTATGGGAGAGATCTCAATATAAGCAATTTTGGGCCGGGGATTTAGCTCAGTTGTTCTGCCGCCTGACTCGAAAGCAGGACCTGAGTTTGATCCCCAGAACCAAAAAATAAATAAATAAATAAATAAATAATCAATATGAGCAATTTTACCTACATTTGATCTTACTCGAGCCTGAGACAGTGCCCATGCTTCGTACATAATTTTATGACCAATGCTAATATAATGGTTTATTATAAGTAAATTCAATGAAATACTATAAAATATTGACTTATGAATGTTTAATCTTATGCTTATAGTAATTGTTTTTCCTTCTAAGGATTATATGCTTGAATACTTACACTTTTTTCTTCATACTAGGGATTGAACATGGAGCCTTGCAAATGCTACGCAAGTTTATTACTGAACTACAACCCCAGCCCTTGAATGTTTATTCTCATAAGGAATTATACTATGTTTTGCATCATTGTAGCTAGAAATTGACAAAATAATAAGGAAAACTCAGTAGTTATTTGGGAAATAAAACAGAATCATTGGAAATGTACACCAAACCAAAATGTAAAGTGTAAAAGTATAATTTCTATGATAGCATAAAAGAGTTCCAAAGGATCACTTCCAGTACTTCCTGTCACAATACATAATTTAAATTTTGCACATAACATTTTAAAGTAATATTCAAAATATTTGATAAAGATGATGGTTGCAGAACTCTAAAAATACTAAATATCAACGAAATGCACACTTCATTTTCAGATAGAGTCTCACTATGTTGCCCAAGCTGGTCTTGAATTCCTAGGCTCACGTGATCGTCCCACATCAGCATCTCATTGTGCTGGGTCTACAGGTCAGTGGATGAATTATATGGTATGTGAATTACCCTTCAATAAAGCTGTATAAATTATTCTTTATCTATATTTTCCTTATATCCTTGAAAATGAAAGAAACTTTTTTATTTAGTGGTAGATTGTAAACAAGGACAAATTAAACATGTATGTATAATTTAAATATCAACTTCTTGATGATTGCTACTTTAAGAGCTGTGGAAAATTTGTTTAACTTAAAACATTAAATTATAAGAAGACAATTTTCAATAAATGGTATTTGAGAGAAAGAGCTAGTTCCATACTTTCCTTCACACCAAAAATTTCTAGATGAAGTTATAAGTAAAAGAAGAACATTATAAAATTAGTAGAAAAACACTTGATCATAGATTTGGGAAAAGCCTAAGAATAAAGGTCATGGGAGAAAACACAAAAGAATGGTAGATGTGACTGAGAAAAAAATGTGTGCAAATTAAAAATGAATTTAAAATTAAAAGAGTGGAAAAATATATTTATAACATATGTAAAATGATCAAAATTCACCTTTTTTTTTAGAGGGAGGGTTAGTACTGGGGATTTGACCCAGCACCTTTGCAATGAAGTGTATATATATCTCTACGCCTTTTTTATTTTAAAATTTGAGACAGGGTCTTAGTAAGTTGCTAAACTGCCTGAAATGGGCTCAATCTTGCAATCCTTCTGCTTCAGCCTCCCACAGTGCTGGGATTAAAAGCATGTATCACTATGTCCAGCTTTTTTTTTTTTTCAGGAGGAGTCTTGTTAGGTTGTCTATGCTGGCCTCCAACCTGCACTGCAGTGATCTTGCCTCAGCCTCCTAAGTAGTCTGGATTATTAGGTAAACAGGTTCCTAGGTAAACAGTTAAAATTTCTTGGGTCTGAGGATTTAGCTTAGTGGAGCCACACCTAACTTGCAAGTGCAAGGTACCAAGTTCAATCCCTGGTACCAGAAAAACAAAACAAAACAAAATTTCTCTTTTTTTCTTTTGGTACCAGGGATTGAACATGGGACCTTGTGCTTATAAGACTGAGCTAAATCCCTGGCCCCACAATTTCTTAATTTGTAAAGTTCTCTTATAAACCCTTAAGAAAAATAACAGTCTAAATAACAGTATAAAAATGAGCAAAGATCTTGAACAGAAAATGCACACAAAAACAGAATTTCCAATAAACAAAACAGATTTCAACCTCATTAAAAATCAAAAAGAAATGAGAAAAATGTAATATTTTTGATTAACCAAGATTTAAAAGGAATAAGAATATATAGTTTTAGTGGAGATGTGAAGCAAAGGTACTCTAATGCAATGCTGTGGGAGTTCTACGAAATCGCTATTTTTATGATTTTCTAAACACGGTATCCAACTTAGCAGCATGATTTCTTACTTTTCTGGTTTCAAGTCTCTATAGATTATTCCCAGGCTATGTAGATGATCTAAAGCAAGCGCAAGTTCTGCCAAGTAGAATTTGACATCTTCTTCTGTGAACATCACCTAAAATAAAATAAAGACAGGTATTATTATTATCATTATTACTATTATTTTTTTGAGACTGTGATTTTTAAAGTTCTGTTTTAGAGCTTCAATATTCAATGATTTACAAATATGCTAATAGACAGCTTTCTTTACAATTTACTAATGAAATAAATTTGCAAACACAATCACTTACTAAATAAATGTTAACTATACACTGGGAGAAATAATTTTACATTGTAAGTAATAAAATAAAACTATTTTCTTTGTGCCATTGTTCTACACAATAATTTAGAAATGAAAAATGATTTTTACAATTTAAGCTGTATTGCTACTACTGATTAAAGATATCTTGTTGATATATTATCATTTTTTAGAAAACTAAAAAAGAAAAGAAGCAAAGTTAAGACGAAGACAGCTTATCAGTTTAAAGTTCTGTATTCAGGATAAATTAAAAAAAACAGGAAAATAACTCTTTTTGGCTCAGTTTCTTCAATATAAGAATCTTATGCCACTACAGAAAATCTGATAAGCATAATATTGAAATATAACAAAATTTTAGTTGAAACAGGAAGAGTATAAACAAATTAAGATATTAATTATATACCTCTTTGGATAAGCGTGTAAACAAATCTCCTCCCCTGAGAAAATCCAAAATAAGATACAACTTCCCTTCAGTTTGAAAAGCTGAATGAAGAAATGAAAATTTCCATTTAATCCATTGTAGTTTACTGTTTAGGTTTATAATAATAATAATGATGATGATGATGAACATTATTTTAGTACATTTAAGTCATAGATCTAAACTTATTTTTACTTAGAAGAAAAACACTGATTTAGTTTCCATGTGGAAATGTTAAAAGCAGTGTTTCTCACTATGGAACCACTAAATTTTCTGTGGATAAGAATCTCAGGCATACAGTAGTTTTAAACATATGATCAATAAAAATACTTTGAAACAAAAAAAGTCTTAAACACGAAATAAAAATCTTTAAAAATGCCACTATAGAAAAAAATGTGGGTTAGATTTAATTATATGTAGTTAAGAATTATTAGGCCTTTACACACTTAAGAAGCATATGTCTTTGGAGAAAAGAAAGGTAGTAACAGTTTTAAAACACTGACATTAGAGATCTTTCTTGCCCTTAAGTTGGGCTAACACATATGGACTATTGAATGCTCATATATTATTATTACTTCTTATAATAAAAAAGCAATCATTGATATCAACTCCTGTGGCTACTACTCAGAAACTAACTTTATAATGTTTTAAATAAACAAAAACTTCTAATGTTCATCTAAGAAATAATAGTATAATTTCTAAGACTGTAATATATGCATCTGCTAAACACAAACAAATGGGCAAATGTTTATAATAGTATATCTGAAAGTACTCAGGGAGTGGGGGATGAGACAAAGGGATTAGGTTGGAGAAGGTTCAAAACTTACCATAATGCAACTTGACAATAAAAGGATGATTAACTTCTACCAAGATATCACGTTCCATTTTTGTCCGAACACGGTCTCGAACTACAAAAGAGTGTACATATGTTACATTGCAATATTTTCAAAGACAATGTTAAAAACAAATTGTTTTTAGTATTTATTTATTTATTTATTTATTTATTTATTTATTTATTTATTTA